CCCAGGGACAAGGAACAACAAGAGATCTAAAATCAATGGCAAGGAGGGTATAGAATGACTGGTGGGGGTTGATCAAGTGCAATGTAGCTAAGAGGAATTACTGAGAGCCAAATGAAGGTTAAACATGATAGAGGGACAGGAGGAAAGTAAAGGGAATTAGAGGAAAGAACTAGGAGGCAAAAGACATAGAGGTATAAATATAGGCATGTATATAGGTAAATATATTAATATATAATGACATAGATATAGGTCTAAGTACATATATTTATATGTTAAGTATTAGAGTAGCAGATGGACATTGGACCTCTACTCAGGTCCTCCCTCAACACAGGAACACTTTGTTTTCTAATAACCTGGTATTCTGTGATGCTCACCTTCCCTACACGATCACTGAAGACAAAATCGCTGCATAAGCAAATGTAGTGAAGAAAGCTGATGATGCCTGACTATCACAAGGTATAGTATATGGGGTCTTAAAGACTTGAAGATAAACAAGCAGCCATCTAACAGGGAAGCAACAAAACCTAAATGGAAGAAGTACACCAGCCTGTGTGATCATGAGGTGTCGACAGGATCAGGTATCAGGCATCAGAAGACCCAAAACAATCATATCAATGTGAATGAGGGGGGTCGGAATGGGGACCAAAAGCCCATCTGTGGACAATTGGACATCCCCTCACATCAGGGTCACAAGGAAGGGATGAGTCAGCCAGGGTGCAGTTTAGCACCATTGAAACACACAACATTCCTCTAGTTCTTTAATGCTCCCTCCCAATATCATGACCCCGATTCTACCTTACAGATCCGGATAAACTGGAGCATGTACACTGGTACAGATAAGAGATCTGGAAACAAGGAATCCAGGACAGACAGACCCTTCAGGAACAGTAATGGGAGTAGCAGTACCATGAGGGTAGGGGGAAGGTGGGTGGGGAAGAATGGGGAAACCGATTGCAATGATTGATGTACAACACACACACACACACACACACACACACACACACACATATAAGGGGACAAACAACAGAAACATGGGTGAAGGAGATAGCGAATGGTGTAAGATATAAAAATAATTTTTAAAAATCATTTTATTGGGCGCTCATACAACTCTTATCACAGTCCATTTATAATTTATCAAGGGTTCACAAGGGAGGGAGCTGATGGAAAGCAAATGTTTTGAAAATGATGATGGCAACATATATACAAATGTGCTTGATACCATTGATTTTTGGATTGTTACAAGAGCTGTAAGAGCCCCCAATAAAATGATTTATTTTTTAAAAAGTTGTTAATGACCATTCCTCCAATCCTGATGCCATATCCTTAGAGTACAGCTTCTCGGATAATTTTCTCAGGATGCTGATTGAATCCGGTGTAGGAATATAATCCTACCACACCCCTTTTCTGATTTTACACCAAGCAGTAATCTCTTATTCTGTTCCCACAACTGCCTCTTGGCCTGCCTCGCCTTCTGTATGAGTCCAATGAAGCGTCCTGGAATCCCCACTCTTCTCAATGTGATCCTAGTTTGTCAGGATCCACACACTTGAATGCCTTTGCATAGATGGTAACACGCAGTCGTCTTTCTGGTAGTTTCTGCTTTCAGCCGAGATCCGCCTGAAGTCAACAATGATAACCTTTGTTCCACATCCTTCTGAATCCAGCCTGATTTTGTGACAGCTCTCTGTCAATGTGCTGTTGCCACCATTTTAAAATTATCTTCAGCAAAATTTTACTTGCGTGTGCTATTGTTTGATCATTTTTGCATTCTATTGGGTCACCTTTCCTTCTTTGGAATGGCAACAAACATCTTCCATCATGCTGTCTTCCACATTTCCTGGCATAGACGAATGAGTCCTTCCAGCACAGCATCAGTTTGTTGAAACTTCTCAATTGGTGCTCCATACGTACCTGGAGCCTCGTTTTTCTCTTATTCCTTCAGTGCAGCCTGGATTTCTTTCTTTAATGGTGTTGTTTTTTGACCATATTCTACCTCTTGGACTTGTTGAATGTCAACCAGTTCTTTCTGGTAAGTGACTGTATATTCCTCCCATCTTCTTTTGATGCTTCCTGCATCACTCAGTACTTTTGCTCTTAGACTCCTTCAATATTGCAACTCAAGCTTGGAATGTCTCTTTGGTTCTTTCAGTTTTGAGATATGCTCAGTGTGGCTTCTCTCCTGGGCTTTCTAACTCCGGTCTTCACACATTTCATGGTCATGCTTTATTTTGTTGCCTCAGGCTACCCTTTAAGTTTTCTGCTTAGCTCATCGTATGTCTCAGTCTAGTCTACATGAAAACAGAAGCACTAGACTAGGAGAAAAAAATATTTGAGAAAAAACTTATGTACTAAAACAGCCTTATGTATTGAATATAAGAAACTCCTACAGCTCAATAGTAAAACACACCATCTGGAAGCAGGGTTAGCTGAACTTTCTTCCTTTTACATCATCTTGGGCTATAATCATGATTCATACTTCATTATGATTTTAGAAAACAAGGATGCCCTCAGGGCTACTGAAGTTAGAAAGAGTTGGTTCCCCCTTGGCTAAATCATCCACATCTTCCTCACCTTCTGTTCTCTTCTGTTGGCTGTTGCCCTTCTGTGTCCTTCCAGATGGCTGGCTGTGTGCTTACTCGTAGATAGTCTGCTGACCTTCAGCGTGACTGATGTTTCTCTCTGTGGACTAGAAAGCCAATAAGCGAAGTTGTTAAATCACTGAGTCAAAAGTCTGGCGGGGGAGGGGAGGGTCTGCAATCACTAGAGCACGTGTAGACTTTAGCGCACGGCCCTTAGCATTCAAGGTCGCAGTTTGCAGTGCAGATGCCGTTTTGCTTCCTTCTCAGCCTCGTTCTGGGAGGAGGCACTTGACAAATGGTGACCTGATGAATGATCAGAGAGGTATTTGGGGGTACCATGGCGTCAAGCCTTGGCAAGCTTTACATGGGGACAGAGCGTGCAAATCCCTCTTGCCACTTTGAAGCCCTTTCCTCCTCCTCCTTGCAAATACTAGGGGGCTCCAAAACCTATGGAAAAATGAGACTTAAAGACAATGGAAAATTTCCACAAATGTTTTGAACCCCATCATATTCTCTGAAATCTACCCTAGTAGCAATACTATTTTATCTGAAATAAATTCTTCTGGCAAAGGTTAGGCTTCAGAACTTCAGTATGAATAAGCTTCATACATCTCTTTGGAAGCACATTTGGGTAGAGACCACAATGTCCCTATCCCCAGCCCGGGGCTCCCTGGAGGAAGACAACTTCTCCTGCGTCTTATCTTTGCCAGTTTAGCACTAGTAAGTGTGTCCTGTTTTCTCTCACTTTTAGGCTATCCATCCAGGATATGGGTTTCTTTCAGAAAACACAGAATTTGCTGAGCTGTGTAAGCAAGAGGGAATTATTTTTATAGGTCCTCCTTCATCTGCAATTAGAGACATGGGTATAAAGAGGTATGAGTTTATTTCTTTTTATGAAAGTCAAGTGGAATGGTTTGTTTTAGATATGCTAGGTGTTCTAACTGCACCCTTTTATTGTCAAAAGCTTATTTATCTGCCACACAGAGAAAACCCATTATGTTATAGAAGATAGTTTATTAATAAGTGCTTTCTTTTTTAAAAACCGACTAGTGTTTCTCATCAATTTGGGGGTGGGGCAATAAAACAGGTAGGTTGAGCCATTTCATAGAAAACTAGATTGAGGAAAACTGATAGATCTTTTCATACGTGTTCTCTCAGACTAAGTCCTTTCTTTTCTTACTGAAATTTTTTTTAACTTCCACAGTATTTTATAGACCAAGCTCGATAGAAATGCACTGCTTGTGTTTCTGTTAGTATATGGAATAGTTTGCCGAACTGACCTCTCTCTCACTCATCATTGTAAAGCACTTCCAAATCCATCATGGCTGCCGCCGGAGTCCCTGTGATCGAAGGTTATCACGGCGAGGACCAGTCTGACCAGTGCCTGAAAGAGCATGCCGGGAGGATTGGTTATCCGGTCATGGTGAAAGCTGTCCGTGGAGGAGGAGGAAAAGTAAGAGCCTGCGGGCTTGTGTTTGCCATCCCTTTCCGGCTGGTCTTTGTGGTCTCGTCCATGCAGTAGCCATAGCCATCTTCCCGCTCTTAGGGCATGAGGATTGTCAGATCAGAAAGCGAATTTCAAGAACAGTTAGAATCAGCCCGGAGAGAAGCTACGAAGTCTTTCAACGACGATGCCATGCTGATTGAGAAGTTTGTGGACACGCCCAGGTGAGATGAGCTCTGTGTGTGTGGATGCACATGCTGTAGCTCAGACATTTTTAAAGTATAAAGGCAATGCATGCATATTATAGAGCATATTAATGGTAGATAAGCTCCTGGGGCCCCCATCCTGTCCCCTGACTTAACCAGTAGGTACAGTGTGGTCTCCTTCTTCCAGTAGGTACAGTGTGGTACAGTGTGGTCTCCTTCTTCCAGACGTGCTCTATGTACATAGAAACCAGTAGGTACAGTGTGGTCTCCTTCTTCCAGACGTGCTCTATGTACATAGAAACATATGTACTTTAATACACAGTAGAGGCGTGAATAGGGTCTTAGATGCTATTGCAACATAGACATTTTTCTGTGTCGTAAATGCTACCGTAGCCTTCCTTTTCCAATATTGTATTGTTGTTGGGAATGGACGCAGCGAAAGCGCACTCCCACCCGCGTTTCTGCAGGTGCAGGCCCGTGCCACTGATTGCATTCTCGCTCCTTTGCTGAGTTGATCCTCCCCCAGTAGCATAAATTCACTGCCCCCATGGTTCCTATCTCATCTTTTGGGCTACTGTTGACAAGTTGCGCCCATACAGATAAATATTAAATGAGCATAATGCTCAAGGCAGACATTCCTTGCTAGTCAGCTAAATAATCACATAACATGGTATCGAAAGGTGGGGCTCCTCATCTAACTTCAAAGTCAAATTAGCATCTGGATCGGGGTCAGCATGTACTCAAGGCTGATTCCTATGAGGCAGAGGTCAGACATAACCTTCTCGCTCCAATCTTTTTTTTCTTTTTGTATGATCATACTTGTATTTTTTATGCATGCCCTTTTTAAAATCACACAAGGGGATTACATTGTTCATATAGTGCGAACATTTTTTTAAAGATCATTTTATTGGGGGCTCGTACAACTCTTGTTACAATCCATCCATCAATCGTATCAGATATATTAGTACTTATATTGCCATCGTTCTTTTCAAGGCTTCCATTTAAATGTTTTTAAATCATTTTATTGGGGGCTCGTACAACTCTTATCACAGTCCATCCATCCATTGTGTCAAGAACATTTGTACATTTGTTGCCTTCATCATTCTCAAAACATTTGCTTTCTACTTGTTGCTCCAATCTTTTTACCAACTCAGATTGTAGCCTTTCCTCCCATAGCACTCTGCTTCTCTGCTGGATTCAATCATTCATTGTAGTGGTCACACAGAACCCACAATTCAGGGGTTTATTAAGGACGTGCCCCGTGTTGGCTTGGGATCAGGAATGACTCAGGATTTAGTTCTTTATTCAGGATACCTTCTTCTCAGCCACGTCCCCAGGCAGGCCTCTCTGGCCCTCAGCCTCTCAGCCTCACCTCTGCCCTGCTGAGGCAAGCCTTACAAAGCTCTTTAGCTCAGCCAGTAAGTGCCCGGAGGCATCCTACTCCAATAGTAAGCCTTAGCCCTAAGGCTCTCAGCTCTCTCACCACCTGGGTCAGCACGTCCATTGTGACTAGCCCCCTCTGTGGGCTGGAAAGCTCACTGCTCCCTCTGACACCTGCTACCTCTGCTGCCACCATTGCTCTGCTTTTGCCGTCGCGGGCCTTGTCTGGTGTTGCAGCCGTCTCCTGGGCTTAGGAGGTTCTGAGCACAAGGACCCTGATTCCAAAGGACGTGTTCCATGCCCAGCTCTTCTTTCTTCATAGGAGTGAGGCCTGGAAGGATGGACAAAACTAGCCAGTCCCCTCGATAAAGTTCCATACATCTTATTTACATGGTCTCACCCAGGGGGGTCGCATACATTATCTGCATTATTAGCAAACTGGCCAATCCTGGTGGTGAGCCATAAACAGCTTATTTGTATTGTCACACCCAATCATTTAGGGAGCATATAAGATTGGGGTGAGATGTACCATATAAAAGTAATCCATGAGATCTGGAAATTATGTTCCATCCTGCAGTCTTTTCTATCGATGCCTCAGTGGTCCCAAGACAGTGACACACAAGGGTAAGTTCAACAGCATTGCTGCTAGAACAACGTCACCATTGTTTCTCAGCATAGCCTCCGTTTTGATTGGACTCCTCTTTCAGGCTCGCTAACGAAAGATTGGCTGGGAACCTCAGTGGGACAGTGAGTTTGTGTTGATGGGGGAGGAACAGCTTAAAATAAGGAGACAGCTCAAAGAAAAGTAGCCAGCGTTACTCAGTTATTCCTCAAGAAACTGCATCCTGTGGTTTGCTGTCCATATTCTCGACCACCACAACAGAAGAAATAAAAATTTTGGTAAAGTTAACTCTAATGCTCTATTTTAACATAGGCACACTTATGTATACCTGGGTGGGGGTAGGGGAACTAAAAGGGTATGTGTGTGTGTGTCTAAATTTAGATAATGTAAATTTAGGTGATTTTTATTTGTTATCTTGTGCTTTAAAAAAATAATTTCCTCCCCACACCTCCCGAAAATGATGAAGTTTGTACTTTGTTATAGTTCAGAAATTTTATATATTTATTTTTCCAGTTCATCCCCCAATGGGAATGTTTTCATTAAGCATTTTTACAAGTGTAACCTTAGTTCTGTTTCTGAGTCTGTAACCTCTGATATCGAATCTTAAACTTTAAACAAGTCATCCTAACAGTGTGGAAGAATTGGTCCCCTTGCCCCACAGGTGGGCTTTATATTGGCCGTCCTTGATCAATCCCGTGAGCCTGTGTGCTTGCTGTGAAATAGGCACGTGGAGGTCCAGGTGTTCGGCGACCACCATGGCAATGCCGTGTACTTATTCGAGAGAGACTGCAGTGTACAGAGGAGGCACCAGAAGATCATAGAAGAGGCTCCTGGGGTAAGGACCTTGTCAAGAAACGTGTTTTTCTAATGTTAGCCTCCGTCACTGGTTTTCATATCAGCAGTCTTTGTGACTGGTGTTCCCCCCACCCCGCCCCCACCCCCGCCCCCTCCTGGATAACCACATCCCAGTGGGAATGTTAGGGGTGGAACCCTGCTCTGCGCTGCCTTACAGAGGACACAGCAGGGCCACATTCTGTCTAGATGAAGTCTGGGAAGGTCCGCTCTGGCCCATGTATCTGATAGCGTGAGTGGCAGGAATGGTGAGATAGATCTCAATGCAGATTATAAGTTGCACTTCACTAAAATATTTGGGGAATGGAATGGGCTGCTTACCTGGCCAGAATTTTTTCCTGAATAATTCTCAACTTTTCCCAGTGTTTCTGCCCTAGAGCGTATGTTGTGGAGAGAGTTGGGGAGAGTAGGGGAGAGTTGCTCTTGCTTGGGGACTTTTGTGTCCCTAGCATTACAGTGA